AATTTACAATGATTTCTAACCGCACGATGTAAGATGAACGAATGTGATTGAAGGATCCTCAGAATCCTGAAAAAAAAAGAGAAGAAAGAGAGAAATTTAGGGTTTGGTCCACTTGTCTCTTTCTACCTCTTGTGGACTTCAATCACCCTTTGATGATTGATCATATCAGAGGCCCTCTGTCACCATGTCCTTGTCTGGCTCAAAAACAAACAACTGAGAATCTCTCCATTTCCAACCCTACCTCCATCCACCCACTGCCCTAATCCAACATTTTGATTACTTACCTTGACCCTCTTTTTAGTCTCTAATCATCATTATAACGCCTTTGGTTAAGGATAGTGCACACTAATTAGTAAATTTATTCTCAAGAGAAAGCTTAGCTATCACTTGTATAGCGTACATTTATGCTACTATCATATTCATCACGTGAGTGGTGAGTGAGAGTGAGAGTGATAGAGAGTGGAGATGTGTACTCATTTCGTGTGTAAGTGTTAAGTGAGACAAGAAGAATGATGGATCATGGATGAGATAGGGAATCTCTTCGATGTTTTTGGAGATATATCTATATCTTTAATATCCAGGCAGAATCTGTCGTTAAATTTACACATGTTTCATGTGAGTTTAAAAGATCAAAAAAAATATATATATGTTATTCAATTATCCGAACCCTAAAACTCCTCTCGATGCCTAATCCAACTTCTACTTACCTTGACCCTCGTATTGCATTTCGCGTGCAGTCTTTCTTTCTTTTCCACCTCTAACCAACATTAAAACTTTTGGCCAAGAGTAGTACACATTTAGTAAATTGATCGCAAGAATGATATTAGTTATTTCGGATTGTCACTTGACGTGAGATGAGAATAGCTAAACAATGTCTCCAACGCTGAAGATAAAACCTGATTCATGGAAGGTTTTCTCGATTCTCAGTGGCTGGGTACCAGATCCTAACAGTTGCCCTAATATCTGATGATACAAACCCTAAAAGGTTACGAACTTAGCTGTGCTTTTCAATTGTCAAAACCCCAATCATAAGAGCACTTCGCAAAACCAATAAGAAACCGACACACCAAAGAGGAAATAAGTAATGCTACACAAGCTTTTACTTGAACTAGATTGTAATATTTTCACAGTTCAACTTCAATGTCTCCGCTCTCCTCCTTGATTGCTTAACAGTAGCCAATCTCTTGAAATTTTGACCACTAGTTAGGTTTCTGGCTGTACTTCGAATTGACGACACGTGCAAATTGTGCGGTTGACAGTGCAAGAGGTTTCCCTCGTTTCTTTAATGATATGATTCAACTTTTCTTGAATAGTTCGGACTATAAAGTAGTACAGACTCTAGATAATGAACGGCAGTGGCGAAGCCACGTGAGGGCGAGGAGTGGCGACCGCCACTCCCCTCACCGGGAAACAGCACTGGAGATCTGGGTTCGCCACTCCCCTCGCCGGAAAACCCACTGGTTCATGACATGAAATCTCGCCGGCAACAATTGTAATTTGTTTATATTGATTAATTATGGAAGAAATTACTATATAAAAAGATTTAGTTGTTGCCATTTTTCTTTAGCCTTGCATTCTTTTAAGTTCGCCCCTCCCCCCAAGAAATCCTGGCTTCGCCACTGATGAATGGTAAATATTGATTCTACGATTGATTTTAAGAAATTGAACGGTGAAAATTGTTTAAAAAGCCAGACTCAAACTACTTGATAGGTTAGACTACTAAAAATAAACCTGATATGAATTAATGACTAGTTCCATTGTTCTTGCAAAACTAAAAGAGAATTTCATATATCGTTTCCCCTTTACACCCTAGGGTTCAAAAGTCACTCGCAAGATTGACCTTCTGACAGTATAAATAACCCTTTAAATAGTATTCATCTAATTAATAAAGAATATAAAATTTGTAGAATAAATAATCTAATGACATAAATACGTCTGATTAAAATGTGTCGTAATGAAATAACTTAAGTAATAGAATAGTTAATGATTTGGTGAATCAAATCATATTCCTTTACAAATGGTGAATCTAGTGTCTTCCACCTTTTGACAACCTTTATTTTTCTTCAAGTGGCTAACATCTTTAGTCCAATGCTTTTCTTACAAATGTTAGATTCTAAGTTCATAGATGATATATATTATTTGAAGCTGTCTGCTTCCTTTATTCTCCCTAAATGAAAATAGCTTTGCTAGCTTTAGTGAGAGCCAATGATGTTTCAAAGGGGAGATCAAAACTTGTTTTATAAGTAAGTTATCTTATTGGCATCTAAGATTTGCTTTTTTTTTTTTTTCCCAGAAAAGGAGACGGTAGCGATTTTATGGATTGCAATAAGAGGGCCCTTCTTGGAGTTTGAGTATAAATTCAATTCTATCTAATTGTTCCACATTGTTTAACTTAAAAAGTTTTCCACATTTTATATCGTCTAGTCCCTTTTATAATGTAACTGGAAAAATGGACTGTGGAGAGCAAACGTTGGGCTTTAACCTTGGGTTTCTGAGATATATATATATATAATTTAAATATATTTAAATCCAATAATTTATTTTTTAATTTCGAATTTAATTTTTATATTTTTGTTGAGAAAAAAATTAATCCGTACACCCCTTCTGTTTGATCAGTCACCTCCCAACTTTATACATGTTGTGATTAAGTGTATGAATATTATAATATACATGCAGCTGCATCTCAATCAAACATTACCAAAACCTGTCGTACTAAGAGAATCACTGAGATCTTGATTTAGATTATTGAATCTCGGTAAAACAGACGTCATTCGAACTACAAGTATTAAGTAAGGACGAAATTCTGTTTTAAGAACATTATGATACACAAGCCTTGATCTTTATTTCATTTGTCTAATTTAAGTTTCATTTCATTCACTTTGTGTCAATATATGTAGTTGATTAGCATATGATTTGTATACATGTTTCGAATTTATTTCTGCAATATATATATATATATATATATATTTGATTGATTGTTGATTCTGTTCCAACAATCCCTTGACTAGAAAAATATTAAGGAAATCATGTTTTTACACCAATTCTAAAGATCATTGGATATGCCGTTGATAGTTAGATTCCTTATTTAATGATTTAAAGAATAAATTCAACCATCAATCATCATATTATGTGATCTATAAAATATAATTCAAGTAAATAGTTTTATTAGCATCACCTAACTAAAGAGCATATATTCTATTGGCCAATTTATAATCTGGTGTTGGAATTGGGAATCTAGGGTCTACTCATAGGGGAAAGGGTCTTAGCTAGCTAGGAGTTTGGAGACTTCCTAAAACAATAATATTTCTAATTTCTACTTCCTAGATATTATATGTCCTTCGATGGAAGATATATATCATTTTCTACACCTCTCATTTTATTTGGCCTATATTTTATTGTGTTTACATAACTTGTTACGTAATGAGGTTTCACTTTCTAAATCGAAGATATTATGTCTACAACGCTTATTACATCAAAGGTATATTTTATTGTGTTTACAACCTCATCAAGTAATTTTCATTGTGTCTACAACACACTAATTACGTGATGATGTTGTAAACACAAACACGTACCCTAAGTGATATAACAAACTAAATTAAAAACAAAAATGCTAAAATGACGGTGTATCAAATCTCTCAAACTACTTGACAGTAATGTCCTACACAGCAATTAAAGGCACCATCTTCCTGTCTGGATTTGTCCTTCTGATAAATAATGGTCCATCTATGTTTGCAACTAGCTAGTCAACCAAAAGACAAAAGTTGCTTCTGATGTCGATTGCCAAATTTTTGTTTCAAACTTCATGGTATATTCTATATATGTAAAAGAGGGAAGTGAAAAAACTGCATGTCTACGTCTTATTTCTCACAGTAATTTCATCACATATACTGAATGAAAATGTTTGTTTCAACTCTTAGAACAAAGTATCAAAGAGTATAAATACAAGAACTTGAGTTTTTAACAAACTGCTGCATGCAAAATCAATTTTAATTTCAAACATGAACTTGTTTGTAAGTGTTTTTAAAATGGTTGAACGTTTTTTGGACGAATCCTTCGTAAAAATGTAAGTGAATCCTGAAAAAACACTTGAAGCTGCCTACAAGAAGCATAACTGGTACTTCTTGCAAAAAGCACTTTAAGTGCTTTTGGAATCTAAAAAGTTCCTCTAAAAACGCTTTCAGTCATTTTAAAAGCACTTTTAAACGAGTCCTATGTTGTATACTACTCACTCTAAATGGGACATGAAACCATACCTAGCATCATGGAGCTGCAGAGGCAAGTTTTGGGCCGTCGACCTTGCCTTGCACCAACTGCTAGACTTGCTCTTATGCGAGAGAGGGAAGGCAACTATAGTTGTCTAATAACCTAGCCTCATGTGTAATCTAGTGACTCAAAATGGGTCCAATACTATTATCTTTTTTGTTAAGTTTATGATAAAATTAAATTTTAAAAAAGATTGTAATATCCTAAACCATAAGAAAAAAAATCTCTTGCATTGATATGTTTTATTTATTTAACACATAGATATCCTAGATTTTGTTATATTTATCTATGTATATCACATTTTCTTTTGTTGATAATCCATTTATATCACGGATAAATCATTTTTAGTTACCTATATTACAGATACTTTTTTCTTGTAATTTATCGATTAAGAGTTAGTTGATTCATTTCTATCTTAAATATATTTCGCTTGAAATTAGGCTACCATCCTATGAATTTGCCGAACTTCTATTTTTCTTAGTGTAAAAATACCGATATACTTAAAAAATATATATATTTCGCTTGAAATTTTTTGTAGTCTTCTTTCGATATGGACATTGTTTCATTTGGACTCACTTTGAGCAACAACATGTACTTTTTACATGTGGATCCAACAAACCCTCATTTTTTTTTTATTTAAATTTAATTGGGCCTGTTCAACTCTCTCAGGCTTTATTTAGTATGGGCTTCAAGAACCAGGCCCACTACGAAAAAGCTTAAAACGCTTCATTTTGGCGCGAACCCACACAACCGCCGTTTGTGGCCTCCGAGTCAGTCGCTCCTTCACTCCACCATGACCACCTTAACGGAAATAACTGATCTCTTCGCCAGGCTCGCCGTCCACCTGAAAATCCCAAACGACACGTCGTTTCCTCCTCGCACTTCCAAAGAAGACCTAGACGACGCAGCTCTGGATCTCTCGATTTCCGAGCTGAACCAATCTCTGAACCCCAACGGCGATTCTAGGGTTAGGGTTTTGGACACGGTCCTATCTCTGATGTGCTTCAAAGCTCCCAAGGTCAGGTCTTCTCTCAAATTAGGGGTTTTGATGAACAAACAAATGTTGGATTTTGGGAATTTCTCATCTGTGTATTTGTGTTCTGTTGTTTAGGTTTTCGATTCGGAGATTGAGTATTTAGTGAATACAATTGCTGCGGTGTTGTTGTCTTCCGTTCGTTGCAAGGTTTTTCGGTATCCGAAAGACGAGATTTTGCTGATTGGGAGCTCGATTTCTCAGCGGGATTGCGGGCATTTGATCGAAGCTTGTGCTGATGTTCTTGAGAAATTGGAGGGACGTGGTGGGTATACAATCCAATACCAGCTCACGTTTTGTATTCAAATTTGTGTTTAAAATTGTTTCTTATTCTGTCAAGTAATCATCTTTGATGATTTTGATTCTGAGATAAGTGATAACTGTAGTTTCAATGTGTTTGAAGGTAAGCTTTCGGATTCGTTATTATGTGCCATTGTAAGAGTTGCAAGTTCTGCATCTTTGTACCGGCACCAGTCAATGCTCGTTCTTGGAGTAAAATCAGCGGATGCAAAAAATACCGTGATCTCAAAGCTGCTCTGTCACTTGCCCAGAGAAAAATTCCTTGAAAACAAAATTCCGTTCAGGTTGTTGGAAGTTTGTTTTCTGTAGTTTGCAATTTCTTGATATTTCCCACGTGTTTTTGTAGTTATAAATATGGGAGTTCGGACTTCTTCGCAGGCTGCTATTGTGGTATCTTGACCCGTTACTTTTGAAGCACGATATTTCAAACATTTTGCAAGAAACCATGGAAAGGCCATTCCTTTGTTTGAGTAGGGAATTTCATGAGAATAACGATTGGCGCTCCATAATCACATCGTTGGTACTTTCGCCCATTATGTTTGTTGAGGCAAGAGCTTTGTTGCACCGGTGGTTTCTGGTGACGTAAGTCCTATTTCTGATTGACTGACCTTTAAGTTTCTTTCTGTTGTATATTATGATCAATCTTTTGTCATAATCGGTTGTAATTTGATTTAATATGGTTTGTTAATGTAGTTCACTCTCTCATCAGGGGTCTAGCATCTGTGCTTGAGCTTCTAATTCAGTTGGTTTTGATGACATTAGACGTGGTTTCAACACCAATGTTCTGGGGCATATCAGCTGAAGTGGGAGCAAAGTTGCCATTTTTGAATGCTTATTTTCCGTACAACCAACTGTTGTTAAGGACCTTGGCTGGACCCCTCTCCTACGATGGTCTCCAACAGTTAGTGCACTACACAATGGACCCAGTCCCTTGTGCCCAGAAACAACTTTATCCGACTTTTAAGCCGCCTGCAGTGAAGGTTGCAACAATCGATCACAAATCTATCTGGTAATTTCTTACCCCATGAATCCATGTGAAAACAGATGGCATCTGCACCATCTCAGTCCTACAAACCAAGACTGATCCACAAATGTTGCATAGGTCTCTGGCCATCAACTTCCCAGATTGGTTCTACCTTGCTTCTGCATTGCTCTTCTCAGAGAAAAGTACTCATGACAGTTGTCATCCCGAATGCATATTGGCAGCATCCAAAGTTGGAGAAACACACGAGGAGCTTCCTTATGGTTCTGCAGCGAGGTACCTTGCCTGGATTTTGAGTCCTCTTAGTAAATCTCACCACGGTTCGCTGGCTGATTGTTTAGTTAAATCATCAGAGTCTTCGGCTTTAAAGCAGTTTGGATCTGGTTCACATGACAAGGAAATACATGGCTACAAGAAGAAACTCAAGAAACCGAAATTGTGTGAAGAGGAATCTACTTCCATTATAGTCTGGCTCAACGGATTCAATAATATATACACAAGGTATTGCAATGAAACAAGTGAAACGAAACTGTCTTGTGGTCTTAATCTGCCGAAAAATGTCTTGTTTCGGAGAATCCCGCTAGGCATCTTGCTCGGTTGTCCCCATCGAATCAACGAAGATGAATGTGAATTGCTGCTGCATTATGCCGCAAATGGTAGAATTTTTCAGTCAAGGGAAACCAGGACTACTGGATTGAAGCATGTAAAATGGAGCTCCAAAGGGCATACGAACTTAACTACATGGAGTGATGAATGTAGTGAAAAGGAGGCTTCGGCAGGTGCCTGTCTAGTCTTCAGTTTAACCGATATCATTGAAAGTCTGTCTGCTTCGCTGTTTGAGACCGAAGAGGCTGGCGCAGACTTTATCTGCCAGGTGAAAATGCAGGTCAGCAAATACTTGATAAAATGCATCAAGAGGCTAATCCAACTCAAAATTGACAATGGAAACTGGGAGGTAATGGATCTCCGCCGTAGATTGGAGAAGTGGAGGCATCAGGGACAAGAACTACCAGAACTCAACAAAGACTTAAACGATGTCATTCCATTCTTGATTTAGCGAATATGTTCTGTTTCATGAATGGGGAAAAGACTACGCAAAGCAGCAGTTCTTCGATACAGAACCCCAGTGCATCCGCCTTGCCTCATCAGCGTTCATCTTGGGTCGAAATTTTGGGGTCTTTTCCTGGTGCTCACGATGATGTCAAACGGATCTTGGAGCGGGGATCTGAGAAAACATACATGTTTCTCTCTGTTGTACTAAAAATATTTACATAGAATGAAGTAGGGGACAAGTATTCTCGTCAATCAAACAAATATTTTGAATCAAACATTTGGAAAGACAAGGATAAAAGCAATCTCTATTATTTTCCATTTATTCTTTTCCATAAGCTGTTACAAACTTACAATCGAAAATGCTTGCGCAATCTATGGACTACAAACTTCGTATGTAATCCTACGTATATCATGTCGAGCTATTTTTTCGACAAATAATAGATTGGCTATGTACACAACCATTTCACGTATATAGTAATCTACATATCTGCTTCATCTTAGCTGCAGACAGCTTCAACCGAGAGCTTCTTCTTGTCGTGTCAAGAGCTTCTTCAGTTTATTGACAGATTTTGAGTGAGCATCAGACTCTTACTCTTTCGACTAAAGACATCCATGACGGATCACCACCCCATTCTTCGAACACCACCAGTAGATTTCCAGTTGGGGTCAACCACGATCGAGGAATATGGTACCTGAAAAATAATAGCTCTACCATGAATTTTGTACTTGACAAAATAAAGGCATCACAAATAAGTAGGATGAACATTTTCTCACCATCTCTGAGAAGGCTTGCCGCAATAAGTTCTGCATTTCTTATCATTAAAAGTTCCGGCATAATAACAATTTCCACAGCTACCTTGCGCAATGTATCCAGGCCAATGGCGTCCAACGCTCTGTCCGTTTATCCATATTTGACCTTTCCCCATGCTTCCCATATCTAAAGCTAATGGGGCATGTCCTGGTGGTGCATCGAAAGTTGCCTGAAGATATTACAGCTTAGATTAATATCTGGTTTTTCATGAACTTCATAAGGACGGGTATAAAATATACGCGTATTGGAAGAATACAAACCTTGTACCACGTAAGGGGTTGTTTTTGAGCCATCGAAGGTCCTTCTGCCCAGTCAACAGAAGAACTCCCAGTAACTGTGTGCAGGCCTAAAGATTCACCTTTCATACCAATCTGCTCATAAAGCAAACAAGTTATTCTCTAGTTTTTTTGGCAATTTTTTCGACATCTTAGCGAGGGAGAGAAAGTGAAACATAAACGTTGAAAGGCAACCAACCTTGTAGGTCCATTTCCATCGTGACATGTCCCATGTTCCCGTATTCAAACCCTTCAATGAGATCGGGCCTAGAACTCCCGTGTTCCATGTTTCAAAGTGAGTGCCAACATTCTGATTTTTATTAGAACACAGAAGAAGCAAAAGTTTTAGATGTCATCTCAAATGTTTTCAAAACCAATATCCCATTAGAGAATGAGGAAACTAACCGGCAGACCAACGGAAATGCTAAGCAATGCAAGCTTGTTGATGCCGGGTCTCAACTTCACATTCTGACTGAATGTTAGTTTAGGATTCTCCAATGACCCATACACGGTTCCTGCAATAATGGTAGAAAGTTTTGTTAAAATTAAGTTCATTCAGCAGAAGAACTAGACGGAGTTACATATGAAATTTACTTTTATATACCTGATAGCTGACCATTGATGAAAACATGTAAGGCATGACCTGCTGAAAAGATCGTAAGAAGTGGGAACTTTCCGTTCTTTAGAAACGCTTCATCAGAACCTATTGTGATGCTGGTAGCGAAAATTTGAATCACCAAGTTAGACAGAAAAGAAAAACAAGATAAAAGTTTCCCAGTAACATTTAAGAAAAAACACAATGCTTAAACTATGGTTGGTTTAATTTACTTACTCTGTCATGTACCACAAGTAGTCAGTAGCATCCCTAGTCAAATATATCTGTTCATACAACCCGTCTAACGTAGTTGTACCAGGTCTCATCAGAAGTGGTGGTTTCTTCGATGAATGACTGCCAAGGAAGTCTACTATATACTGGTTTCATCTGCACTTCCGAGGCTTTCCAAGCGACCTGTGCAGAAATAACACGCCTTAAGTGAATCTTACAGAAATTGAGAAATAAACTTTGAACGTTCTCGACTAATATATCCAATTGCTCACCTTTGCAGTGTTGAAAACTGCAGTTTTGCAGTCCGGGAGAATGCTGATGGACCATGGTGGCAGGTCATACTGCCCGTGTCCAAAGCTCACTCTAACAGAGTATTTCGTGTCATGGTTTGCGAGGAATGCAGCGCACCCCGACTTTGAATTGAATACATGAGCCTGCAAGGCTAATATTGATCAGAACAACGAAAATCATAGCGAATTTCAAAGAAGAATAAGGTTTGGCAAATTTCAAAGCTCCCGAGCTAGCAGTAAAACGGTACCTCTTGATTATTTCCGAGTTTAGTCACTGAAGGATCAACGGCCACCAAAGCATGCTCACATGACTTGATGGCTTTGTGCAGATCTCTCAAATGTCCCCACTTTGGTTGCTGGAGTAGTCCTGATATAGCACGCATAAAACCGTTCATATCAGCGTGCAATAATACGTTTTTTCACATGTTAATTACGGTTTATGACTTCATGAGCCGAACTCTGTAACAACTACTCGACAATGCTAATTGTATTTACATACCATATTCGTCTAAGGGGGCGTCATAGTCATAGCTGGTGGCCATGAAGGGACCTCCAGCTGTTCGGCCAAAATTCGTTCCTCCATGGTACTAGAACAAAAACGAAAGAAAACACAAGGAAAATTAGAAAACACACACTAGGAGATTAAACATCACTTGAGAATACGAGACCAACAACTAACCATGTAATAGTTGAAAAAAGAGCCGCCACTTTGTATGAACCTAGCAACTGAAAATGCCAAATCTTCTGCAGGTCTAGTGGGAATTGCCCCACCGAATTCTGTATACCTGTAAAATACATACAATAGGGGCAACCTCGTCAAAGGGATTGAACAACGATACAAGAAAAAATTGATACGATGGGCCTATGGAAACAAACTTTTGAGCTGTACAGGCAACTTGTGTGACTTACCAACCAGTCCAGACTTCTGTCCACATTTTTGGCTTGTAGACCTTGTTTGGTTTGAAATTCTCACAGTAGTAACCATTGCAGGTGTCAATCTGTCACAAAACAAATAAGGCGAGATTAGCTCCTCAGCAAGGGTCACGGGACGCTAGCATCCACCCTCGATCCCAAAGCACTGATATGTTGCTCTTAAAAGCTGAATTATGTTTGACAGTACAAATTCAATTAATGACCAAACCAACACAAAAAATTGATTTCCAAGTCTTTATCAGAAGTCTTCTAAAACTGAAGATTCATCCTTATATTTTTAATCCAATTCATCGAGATGTGGACGTGGTAAGGCCAGTTGGACATGACAGTGTGCATAACTCTTGAACCCGAGTTCAACCCATCCCCGTAGTTTAAAGTAAATTAGAATATCATATGGAATGGGGACAAGCATTGCCCTGACCATATGAAATAGAAATCTACACCAACACGCCACCTACCAAGTTGACAGCAACCAGTCTAAAAACCCCACCAAGAAGGGAGGGTCCAACTAAATGAAGGATATTTATGCGATTCTCCCTCGAAAATGACAATACAAGGCAGGAAGAAAAACTTGTCTCTTCGCATCCGAGTTCAAATCTCTTCCCTACAATTTAGATTAAATAAAATAAAATAAAAAGCGTCGAAAAAAATGCTAAGAGAAACTTACAACGGGATCGGGGGCATCCTCTTGCTTGCACATAATCCATGGGACTCCAGTGTCAAGACCTACAGCCATCTGAGCTGCCCATTTGGTGTAAGCTTTTCCAGGTGCACCAATTTCCCATTCCACAGGTCCAAATTCATTTTCTATCTGTCAATTCCAAATTTGAAGAACCAAATTAAAATATTAATAAGGATTGGCTGGCCAATTTTTACACAGCAGATAAAACAAAGGGAGTTTTAACGAAAAACCTACTGTACTGTTCATCATATTGTTACACTAAAAAGTCAATCATGTTACTATTCACTTTACATTTTATTTTGTCCTTATCGTTAAAACTTAAAAGTTTTTAAACCATTTTCATTAATTTTTCTTAAAACAAAAGAAAACAAACACTCCTCATTTTCTTGGAAAATTGAGACTAAAAATAAAAGCAAATTCAAACCCACTTCTAGAAACATGAAAAAGACCGACGACATATTTAAGATTGCTTTTCGAATGACTAAAAGCGCTTAACGTGAAAAAGACCAATGACATCTTTGAGATTGCTCTAAAGGGCTTTCTAACAATGAAAAGCGCTTCTGACTACTTTTCACGGAAAAACTTGAAAAACATAACCGATTTTTCTAACCTGAGAAAGAATTATAGGACCTCCTTGAGTTTGGAACAGCTTCTCTGCCTTCATCATGTTGACAATCTTCTCTGTAAATTTTTGCATTGCCGCCTTCATAACGGACAGAAATTAAATTAGCTTCCAAATTATTTGTTAAAAAGATTAAATTCCATTGGAGTAAACGGAAGATTTATAATATCCAACCTTGAAAGGCTCATTGTCTGTTCGAAAAGCGATTCCAGGAACATATTTCAGCCAAATTGGGAATCCCCTGTTTCAGAAACAGAGTAATAAGTATAACCATACTGTATGAATCCTATAACGCACTGCATTCGGTTTTATGCTAAGTTTTCCGTTAACAAAATATTCTTAAAATTTCAGTTTATTTGTAGCAAAAATTAAATGATTACCCGAAGTTCCATTCAGCACAGACATACGGCCCAATCCGGAGATTAACAAAGAGGCCTGCCTGTTGCACCAGCTTGATGAACTTGACCAAATCATATCTGTCCTCAAAATAGTACTGCAAATTTGAAAAAAATTAAAACAATTAATTAGCATAAATATATTTAGATTAGAGATAAAAAAAAATGTAAAATTCAGAAGCAAATTTCTAATTGCATTACTTTTCCTGGAGAAGGTTCATGGCCATTCCAAAACACATAGGTCTGTATAACATCCAAGCCTCCAGCTTTGGCCTTCTGAATCAAATCCGGCCACATCTGCAACCACACACACCAAAAATTAAACCCAAAATATCAATAATTTGAGCTGAAAAAACATTCTTAAACTTTTTAATGCAAGATCATAATCTCCCACAAGTTAAAAATCAAAATAATATATAATATATCCCGCAGTGTCAGAAA